CATCATGCGGTGCCACCATCTCGGGCAGGGACCCTCATCCAATGTGCATCGTCTGTATGGGTGCCAAGCATGCTCAGGCTTCACTGGCGGACCCTCAGGGATGCCCACACTGTGCTTTGATGCCAGAGAAAGTCCTGGAAAGGAGGCTGAGAGTAGCAGTAACGAACAGTCAGGACCCCTGCCTGTCGGCTGCTACTGCTACGAGCGATATCCGTCATCCGCGAGCCTCCACAAGCTGGGCGGACATGATGGAAGAAGAGTCCCCGCTCATGCCCCCATCGTTCGAGGACCTCCTCGATCAAAACGTGGGCGAGCCGGGCGGCGAGGACGCGGAGGGCGATGCCGACTCCGACCTCCTCAACCTGGAGGACATGGATGAGGAACAGGAGGATGACTCTACCTTTCCTCCCCAGCAGTCCAGGCCACCAAGTGGGGCTGAAGTTGCACCCCTGGTGGACAGCAATTTGTACGAGGTCTGCAAACGGGCTGCTGCCAAGCTAGGCATCCCATGGCCAGCCGCCCAGGATGCCGAAGGGGCAGAACGCGACCTGTATGACGGCAAGAGGCTCCCACCAGCCTTGCCGCCATCAAAGCAGCTTCTGCCAGCAGTCCCAGCCTGCATGAAAGAAATGAGTCGCTATTGGTCAAGCCCTTTTAAAAGCAAGCTTCCGACCAAGGGCTGCTCTAAGCTTGAGATCCAGGGGATGGGTGAACTGGGGCTGACCGAACCTTCACCCTAACCGCAGGGCAATCTCAGCTTCTTCTAGCATTTCTTTGCCCAACAAGATAGATCGCCTCACGGCATCTATTTATCAAAGGACGTACAAATATGCTGCACAGTCAGTATGCTCGCTTAATGCAGTCACACTGCTATCAGCATATCAGGCAGAAATTCTGGAAGACATGGGCCGTCAGCTTGACTCGGGTTCCCAGAACCCAGTCCTCTGGGATGAAATCTGCGTGGTTAATGATCTTGCAGTCGCGGGTGAGAGAGCCTTGTGGCTAAACCTGTCAGGCCTAGGTGATGCTCAGAAGGCTGAGGTCATGGATGCAGCCTATGACCCAACCAAGGGTCTCTTTGGCCCAGCCCTGGAGAGAATGAGAGAAACAAGCACCCGCAGAAAGCAGGAGGGAGAAGCATTCAACTCTCTGCTTACCCAGAAAACCTAACTCTCAGCCCCAGCAGGTGCCAAGAGCTGGCTTTGCAGCAACAGCAGCAGCTGCGAGAGGGAGACAGAGTGGGGTCAGAATGCAGAGAGGAGCAGGAGGCCAGCAGGGTGCCCACCAGGCCAAGGTAGAGAACCGAAGACCTTGGGGCAAGCATTCCTTTGCAGCAGTTGCTGCAAAGAACAAGCCGTCACACCCCGGAGAGGGGAAAAAGAAGCGGTCAGCCTAGCACACCTGCAGCATTCTGTGTCACCCCTCTTTTCTTCCCCAAAGAGAAGGAAGGTGTTAGAAGGGGTAACCAAATCACTCCAAAGTTCAGGGTCTCCGGAAGTTTCCAGTTCACCAGGAGCACCCTCTCAGTCTCGGTGGCGCGCATGCGCAGTTCATCCCTGGGTCTTGTCAACCATTTCCCATGGTTACAGACTACAGTTTGCGGCAAAACCACCGAGATTCGGCGGAGTGTTAGCTTCTGTGGCCAGTCGCGATTCAGCGAATGTGCTGGAGGAGGAAATATCCTCCCTGTTACACAAACAGGCGATCGGAGCGGTTCCGAGCGAAGAAGCTCAGCAGGGCTTTTACTCCCGCTATTTCCTCATCCCGAAAAAGGACGGAACGTCGCTCCGTCCTATTCTGGATCTGCGTGTGTTAAACAAGCATTTGAGAAAGTACACGTTCAGAATGCTCACACACAAGACGCTTTGTCGCTCAATTCACAAAGGCGATTGGTTTGTTACAATCGACCTATCAGACGCATATTTTCACATCGCCATTTATCCTCCACACAGGAAATATCTCAGGTTCGCTTATCAGAGCGTAGCGTACGAGTTTCAAACTATCCCATTCGGGCTATCCTTAGCCTCCAAGGGTGTTCAGCAAATGTGTGGAGGATCGCATCCTTCACTCACTGTCTTTCCCGTTTTCAGCTGGGGAAAGTCGTGCAGTTCCAACTGTCTCCGCCTCCTTGGCCTCATGGCCTCTGTGATATCGGTGGTACATTTGGGGCTGCTTATGATGAGAGATTTTCAGCGGTGGGTCGCTTCTCTGCAGCTGTGCCCTCGCCGACATCTCAGTCGTGGTGTAAAAATAACGCAGCCGTGTATCGCGGCTCTCCGGCCTTGGAGGAGCCCGACAGCTCTCGCTGCGGGGGTACCGCTCGGGGCAGTATCATCCAGGGTGACGCTGACCACAGATGCATCCCTGTCAGGTTGGGGTGCAACTATGATGGGCAGAGCAGTGAATGGCGTTTGGTCACAGAGACTCACTCTGAATCACATAAATGTGCTGGAGCTCCGCTGCGGTGCTCCTAGCCTTACGGCATTTTCTGCCGTATCTCCGGGGTCAACATGTTTTAGTGAAAACAGACAACTCCACTGTAGTTGCTTATATCAACCGCCAGGGCGGCACCCGTTCCCGGCAGCTACACAGGTTAGCCAGGGAAATAATTATGTGGAGCAGCACTCGGCTCCTCTCCCTTCGGGCAACTCACGTGCCAGGAATTCTGAACAGGGGGGCGGACCTCCTGTCCAGAGGAAATCCACTGTTCGGAGAATGGAGGCTTCACCCACAGGTGGTGGAGCAGATTTGGCAGAGATACGGCCGGGCTGCCGTAGATCTCTTCGCCTCGCGAGAAAACACACAGTGCCCTCTGTTTTTCTCCCTGTCAGACGCACAGCGCCACTGGGCGTGGATGCGCTGGCCCATCCATGGCCAAAAACTCTGCTGTATGCTTTCCCTCCCCTCAGCCTGATCTCCCCAACACTGATCAGAGTGAGGGATCAGGGGCTGTCTCTGATTTTAATAGCTCCACGGTGGCCATCCAAACACTGGATAGCAGAAATCATCCAGCTTCTGGTGGACGAGCCATGGCCACTCCCCATCCGCAGGGACCTTCTGTCTCAGGCGCGGGGGGAGATATACCATCCCCATCCAGACCAGGTTGCTCTCTGGGCCTGGCCCGTGAAAGGTGGAATTTGAAGGCAGCAGGCATGCCTCCGAAGGTTATTGAAACCATTCAGAATGCCAGAGCCTCCTCCACCCGTTCCATTTACAGCAGTAAATGGCGTGTTTTTGAAGAGTGGTGCCATGAAAAGCAGATTATCCCTTTTCAGTGTTCAGTGGTGGAGCTGTTGTGTTTTCTTCAAGACTTGCTGGACAAAAGGAAAGCTTTTTCCACTATAAAGGTCTATTTAGCAGCTATTTCAGCCTGCCACGTGGGGTTTGGTGATAAACCTGCTGGGCAGCACCCCCTTGTAGGTCGCTTCATGAGAGGAGCGCGTCGAACGCTCCCAGTTTCTAGACCACTGGTCCCTTTATGGGATCTGTCAGTCGTTTTAGACGCCCTCTCCCACCACCCCTTTGAGCCTATTGGGGCAGTGGGGTTGAAGTTTCTCTCTCTTAAAACCACTCTGCTGTTGGCTCTAACCACAGCCAAGCGAGTTAGTGAATTACAGGCTCTGTCTATTCACCCCTCTTGTCTACAGTTGGCCCCGGGACTCACTAAAGCACTCCTGAGGCCTAACCCAGCCTTTGTCCCTAAAGTGTTGGAAACATCATACAGGTGCTCTACAGTAGAGCTCCTAGCTTTTCACCCCCCTCCATTCTCTTCCGAGAGGGAGCAGAGGCTGAACACTTTGTGCCCTGTCCGGGCCTTGGGGACTTATGTTGACAGAACAGCTGGATTCAGGAAGTCGGATCAGCTGTTTGTTTCCTGGGCCTCCCCTCACAAGGGCAGGCTGGGCTACGCCGCACACGTTTGTCCGGTTTTATCGGCTGGATGTTGCACAGTCATCCCTGGCTCAGACGGTGCTGGATTCTGGTGCCTCAGGTTCGACCTGAGATCCTGGAGTAGCACTGGAGAGTAGCTTCGGGAGCTGGCGCAATCCGGGAGTGGGCCATATCTCCCATAGTGAAACACCGAGCGAAGTTAGAAAAAGAACGTTGGGTTACTTAACGTAATCCCTGGTTCTTTGATAACAGAGTGAGGTGTTTCACCAACACTTCCCTCCTTGCTTAGGCACGGAAAGAAATCTGCTTGGAATGAGTTAGGAGGAGCTGGTCGGCCGTGTTAGTACGAGGGGGCGGAGCCCTGAGCACGGCTCGACAGGTCTGTCATAGACAGACGTGGTGTCATTGGAGCTTCCATAGTTGGTCACGCCGAGGCGATTCCCATAGTGAAACACCTCACTCTGTTATCAAAGAACCAGGGATTACGTTAAGTAACCCAACGTTTTGCATCTATCAGAGCCTAATGTCAGTGAGCCCTGTGAACTCGTCCTTTAACTAAACGAGAAGAGGGATTAGGTATTACAATCACTGATATTCACTGGGAAGGTTTTGGAGAATATCCATAAATGCTCTTATGATGCAAGACAGTGCTTGACTCAATTCAATGCTCTACATCTACACTTTTAAAGAGGAAGGTTAAATTTCTCCTGTGAGAAATGCTCTCCAGCTGAAGAAACCTTTGTCCTAAGGGGCCGACATCTTTGATTCAATGTGTCAAATTCTTCGCGTGCAGCTGAGCTCTGATCCACTGACAACTATTCAGGGCATTTTTAATGATGCTGTGGGGATAGACAGTGCAAAGCCATGTTTTATATACTACTGTATTATTTTTGCAAAGAAGCTTATTCTCCATCATTGGAAGGAAAGAGACGCAACTCCCTTAAAGCTCTGGCTTATGATGATGTTGCAAATACATTACATCTGGATTGAACACAACATACTCTGAGTGACAGACTCTCCTCCTTCAGTTGAGTTTGGGTACCCAGCTCTACATGTCTGCAGCTGTAACCAGCAGGTAGTTTTTTGGCTTCTCATTAAGACAGACTAGCTGGACAGCTGGGACTGTGTGTGTGGGAGGCTGTTGTATCACATTGTGTTGCATAAAAAAAAGAATTACTGATTCTGTAAATTCCACTCTGTCATACAAACATGTGAACAGCTCAATAAACATATCTGAGGTGGAAGAAGAACTTGCATGACCATAAACAGATTTTCATTAAGATAAAATAAACGCAGTGAACATAACTGAGATGGGGTATGTAATAATCTGACCTGAGACAGGCTGGAGCAGGACTGCAGAGATTCCCTCCATCGCTCCAACACCGTTTTACTGACTCTACCACAGTCGCTGCCATCTGAGACATACACACACACACACACACAGACACACACAGACACAGACACACACAGACACACACAGACACACACACACACACAGACACAGACACACAGACACGACCACAGTGATTTTTATTTTTAAAATAGAAACCCGGCTCTACTGAGAAATGTAGAATATCAACCAGATGATAATATTATTAGAAGACAGTCATACCATCACTGGCTTGGTCCTCATCTTTCTTCTTTTTGTTCTTCATCTTATGGTCCTTCTTTGAGTCTTCATCAGCTGCAGATGTGAAAGAGGCAGTTGTTATGCGGTAAACATAAGTGGAAAGGTTTAGTACATATAAACATGTAGCTCTAATAGTTTTGGTGCCACCAACATTTTGCCCTTTCCTGCTCTCCTTTCAGGCAGTCACCTTCACTCTCACACACCATTCACATGCGATCATGTAAAGAAACTCACCGAGCGGAGCTTTGAGGAAGCGTCTCTCGATGCCTTGCTCAATGTTGGTAAGAGCCTGAGCCAGGATTCGTACAGAGTTGCTGACCACCTGAGGAGTTCCACTGCCGCTGGACCCATACGCTGCAGAGCTGTCAGACTTCACCTCCTGAAGCCTGAAGAATAAGCAGCTGTTTACACCGCACACAGGAACGTTCAGCTTTGAACGCACGAAGACTGAAACCCTGATTTGGACACTGGATCATCATGGCCAAACTACGCACCTGTCTCTGGCTCTCAGGTGGGCAGAGTCCACCTCCATGGTCTCCACTCTTCCGTTCATCCCCGTGTTCTCTCTGCCATCAGAAGCGAGCAGCTCATAATTTCCAGCTTCTAACGCCAAGCGCCATACCTGTCTATCCATCACCTGAACATCAAAAGAGTGAGAGAGATGAGTCAGCTGTGGCTTAGGATACCCATCCTTTACCATCGTCAGCAGGAACTCTCACCTTCAGAGTTCCCAGAGTTCCCTGGTGGATCCGGTCCTCAATATCCAGCAGAAGCTCTCTGAGTCTCACCTCCATCATAGACTCAGCTGCAGCAGTGCATTCTGGGAGTGCCTGGGATGACTCTTGATCCTCTGGGTAAAGAAAAGGTGTGAGTGATTACTACCTGCATCTGAATAATATTTGTAGTCCTAATGTCCACCCATGTATTTAGGCTCAGGCTCTCTTACCTGTGTGCTTGTATTTGTTTCTGTCACAGCTCTTCAGCAGGTGCTGCAGCCTCTCTCTCTCCTGCAGCAGCGCCTCCTTCAGGCTGCTCTCTCGGTGACCTCGAGGATTCAGAGCCTCGATTAGATGATCAACCTCCTCCAGTGAACTGTAGAAGGACCACTGGTTGGACTGGTTGATTGGTGGGCTGCAGATGTGGAGGGGGGCGGGATTTGAGGCGGCACTTTTTAGTCACGTCACCATCAGAAAGCTGTGTTATGTGTGTGAAACTAACTGGTTCGCTCCCAGTATAAAATGTTACCTACCCTGTACTAGCTGCTTTATCCTTGGCCATTTCCTCTCCTTTCTCCACCTTGGTGGTGCTTGTGTCCTGGTCAGGTTTTGGGCTAGGCTGCAGCATGTCCTCGGTCAGGCCGAAGTGGTCTGCCTCCACAAAAAGGGCGGAGGCTGAAGGGAACAGCCAGTATCGGCGATACAGACGATCTCTACCCAAAGGCAACAGGCAGGTGCAGGCTGCAGCTTTCTGGATGCATTCCTGCAGCTCTCTGACCTGCAGTGACGACAGAGCTGGATCAAACTGAATTCTTCTGCTTTTTAGGCTTTTGTCATTCTCACTAAGAAAGTTGGCTGAAGAAGGCGCCACGAAAAACAAAAAGTGCTTTATGAATACAGACATGTTCACACACACACACACCTCTGAACATCATTAGTCCTGTGTGCTGCTCAGTACCATTCAGTATTTATTATTTACTGTTGTGTGGTTGTTGCCATGGTTTCCCTGCTGTGTTGTTTTCTTTCTGCTTGTTGAAGCAGATTTTCAGCCTTTTCCCTCTTCTCCTCTTTCCTGTGCCCTGGTTGTGTTTGTTCTGATTGTAATAACTTAAAATAAAAAAATAATAAAGACTGAATAAACTAAGACAATCAAGTGGAACGGTAAATCATCCACTTATAATTCTGATTGCTACAGGGGGAAAAAACGCTGGTTTTAAAAGCAGTTTCAAACGCCTGGACTTTGGCAGAAGGCTTTAATTAAAAGCCTGTTCAGATCAGACGACAACAAGAACTAGGATGTTCAAAGAACACTGAAGTGTTGGTGACTGATATAGCTGCTGTATGACGGTGCTGTGCGTACATGCTCTCTCTTTGTATCGATGACAGTGTGAACAGCAGAACTGTTCCTGACTCCCTGACAGAGAGACTAATAACCAGCGTCTGTTTCTGACCTTCTCCTGCTCTCTCTCCAGCTCCTCTGCCGTCAGGCTGGTGGGACGTTTCAGGTCAGACGCCGTCTGCTGCTGCTGTTCTTTCTGGTTTCCTTTGGCTGGAAGACAGAACAAACACATCTGACTCCAGACATTCACAAACTTTATCGTTCTTCCTGCTTCTTCTTGTTGTCTTTTTCACCTTTCATTATCTTGCTGCTCTGCTCCTCTTCATTTCCAGTGTGATGTTCTGTACACGAGTCACTGCAGAACAAATACAAGAACGTTCTGATATCTGTCAGAGACTCAATGAAAACCAATAGGAAGGCAAATAAAATCAAAGATTTTATAATATTGACCTAAGTATCGCTAACACGACTGATGGAGTGTCATACACTCGTGGTAAAGATGCCCTTTTACTTGGTTTTTACCAAGACTGTAACCGACATGTGAAAGCCAGCTGTTTATCTTAAGTCTGAACGTTTCAGGCAGAATAAAATGACTTTGCACTTCCCAGTTACTGAAGGAGGCAGTTCACTAAAGTTATGAATGTCTGCAGTTCCCTGCGTACCCATTGGTCTGAAGTCGTCCCTTGAGCTCCTGTTCCTTCATCTTCTCCTCTTTCGCCCTCATCCTCTGCTCCTGCTCTCTCATCTTCTCCTCCTTACGGAGACGAACCCTGGAAGTACACAGCAGGTTAAACCGGTCATGTTCAAGCTTTGACTTTTGTATATACGGTCATGTGTCCCTGCATGTCTGCATTGTGAGCACACTATATAGGAGTACCTTTGTACATCCTTCTCATTACATACGGGTTCTTTTAACTATTGTACATGATGTATAATGTTTTTGAAGGCTCAAAGTGGTTTGTTACAGCATTACCACAGTTGACAATGTAACAAATTACATTAACTTATGCACTGCATTGCTTTTAATGTGCTCCCGATCTGCTGATCTCCTTTTTGGCGGCTCCATATTGTGCTTACATCTCTGTGCAAGCTCGTGACGACCCTCCGAATGTGTCTTTTCAACAGCGCGAATCATTTCAGAGAAATGGGACCTCGTTTATCTTTGGTCTCGTGATGTGAACAGCGGTACGGCCCTTAACGTGAGCTCTATTTGGACACGCCGCCCTTGCTCAACTCATGGCTTCAGTGTCAGATGTCCTCAATAGGCCACATGAGGATGAGGCAAGGTCACACAGTGGTTTGACCCCAAACCTCTAGTGGTAATGGCACACTCTTTTTTTCACACCTTGGCTCATGTGATGAGGCAGATGATCAATGGGTCAACGACCCTCGAGGGGGTTTTAATGCCTGGGACTCTCCACCGTTTCAGAGAGGTGAAACGTTTTCATGACAGAAAAAACAAAACTACAAAATTTGACAGGGTTTCACAGGCGGGTGGTTATTTGTCCTCATCTGTAGGACAGACTATGAAGGAACTGGGTCCCGTAAACACTGCAGTACAGAAGCCTGAACCAGTCTATTAACCAGTTCTGGTGACTGAACATTGATTTCAATATTGACAAATCTACACTGCCCGATAGATAACCTTCACTCTTCAGCCGAGTTGTGTGTATTTGTTGGTAAACTGTGCCCGCCCGTGTGCATGTCTCTGAGAGGGAGACAGAGTGGGGTCAGAATGCAGAGAGGAGCAGGAGGCCAGCAGGGTGCCCACCAGGCCAAGGTAGAGAACCAAAGACCTTGGGGCAAGCATTCCTTTGCAGCAGCTGCTGCAAAGAACAACCGTCACACCCCGGAGAGGGGACAAAGAAGTGGTCAGCCTAGCACACCTGCAGCATTCTGTGTCACCCCTCGCTTCTCCCCCAAAGAGAAGGAAGGTGTTAGAAGGGGTAACCAAATCACTCCAAGGTTCAGGGTCTCCGGAAGTTTCCAGTTCACCAGGAGCACCCTCTAAGTCTTGGTGGCGCGCATGTGCAGTTCATCCCTGGGTCTTGTCAACCATTTCCCATGGTTACAGACTACAGTTTGCGGTAAAACCACCGAGATTGGGCGGAGTGTTAGCTTCAGGGGCCAGTGGCGATTCAACGAATGTGCTGGAGGAGGAAATATCCTCCCTGTTACACAAACAGGCGATCAGTGCGGTTCCGAGCGAAGCTCAGCAGGGCTTTTACTCCCGCGATTTCCTCATCCCGAAAAAGGACGGACCGTCGCTCCGTCCTATTCTGGATCTGCGTGTGTTAAACAAGCATTTGAGAAAGTACACGTTCAGAATGCTCACACACAAGACGCTTTGTCGCTCAATTCACACAGGCGATTGGTTTGTTACAATCGACCTATCAGACGCATATTTTCACATTGCCATTTATCCTCCACACAGGAAATATCTCAGGTTCGCTTATCAGAGCGTAGCGTACGAGTTTCAAACTATCCCATTCGGGCTATCCTTAGCCCCAAGGGTGTTCAGCAAATGTGTGGAGGATCGCATCCTTCACTCACTGTCTTTCCCGTTTTCAGCTGGGGAAAGTCGTGCAGTTCCAACTGTCTCCGCCTCCTTGGCCTCATGGCCTCTGTGATATTGGTGGTACATTTGGGGCTGCTTATGATGAGAGACTTTCAGCGGTGGGTCGCTTCTCTGCAGCTGTGCCCTCGCCGACATCTCAGTCGTGGTGTAAAAAATAACGCAGCCGTGTATCGGGGCTCTCCGGCCTTGGAGGAGCCCGACAGCTCTCGCTGGTACCTCTCGGGGCAGCATCATCCAGGGTAACGCTGACCACAGATGCATCCCTGTCAGGCTGGGGTGCGACTATGATGGGCAGAGCAGTGAATGGCGTTTGGTCACAGAGACTCACTCTGAATCACATAAATGTGCTGGAGCTCCGGCGGTGCTCCTAGCCTTACGGCATTTTCTGCCGTATCTCCGGGGTCAACATGTTTTAGTGAAAACAGACAACTCCACTGTAGTTGCTTATATCAACCGCCAGGGCGGCACCCGTTCCCGGCAGCTACACAGGTTAGCCAGGGAAATAATTATGTGGAGCAGCACTCGGCTCCTCTCCCTTCGGGCAACTCACGTGCCAGGAATTCTGAACAGGGGGGCGGACCTCCTGTCCAGAGGAAATCCACTGTTCGGAGAATGGAGGCTTCACCCACAGGTGGTGGAGCAGATTTGGCAGAGATACGGCCGGGCTGCCGTAGATCTCTTCGCCTCGCGAGAAAACACACAGTGCCCTCCTGTTTTTCTCCCTGTCAGACGCACATGCGCCACTGGGCGTGGATGCGCTGGCCCATCCATGGCCAAAAACTCTGCTGTATGCTTTCCCTCCCCTCAGCCTGATCTCCCCAACACTGATCAGAGTGAGGGATCAGGGGCTGTCTCTGATTTTAATAGCTCCACGGTGGCCATCCAAACACTGGATAGCAGAAATCATCCAGCTTCTGGTGGACGAGCCATGGCCACTCCCCATCCGCAGGGACCTTCTGTCTCAGGCGCGGGGGGAGATATACCATCCCCATCCAGACCAGGTTGCTCTCTGGGCCTGGCCCGTGAAAGGTGGAATTTGAAGGCAGCAGGCATGCCTCCGAAGGTTATTGAAACCATTCAGAATGCCAGAGCCTCCTCCACCCGTTCCATTTACAGCAGTAAATGGCGTGTTTTTGAAGAGTGGTGCCATGAAAAGCAGATTATCCCTTTTCAGTGTTCAGTGGTGGAGCTGTTGTGTTTTCTTCAAGACTTGCTGGACAAAAGGAAAGCTTTTTCCACTATAAAGGTCTATTTAGCAGCTATTTCAGCCTGCCACGTGGGGTTTGGTGATAAACCTGCCGGGCAGCACCCCCTTGTATGTCACTTCATGAGAGGGGCGCGTCGAACGCTCCCAGTTTCTAGACCACTGGTCCCTTTATGGGATCTGTCAGTCCTTTTAGACGCCCTCAGTGGGGGTTGAAGTTTCTCTCTCTCTTGGCTCCAACCACAGCCAAGCGAGTTAGTGAATTACAGGCTCTGTCTATTCACCCCTCTTGTCTACAGCTGGCCCCGGGACTCACTAAAGCACACCTGAGGCTCAACCCAGCCTTTGTCCCTAAAGTGTTGGAAACATCATACAGGTGCTCTACAGTAGAGCTCCTGGCTTTTCACCCCCCTCCATTCTCTTCAGAGAGGGAGCAGAGGCTGAACACTTTGTGCCCTGTGCGGGCCTTGGGGACTTATGTTGACAGAACAGCTGGATTCAGGAAGTTGGATCAGCTGTTTGCTTCCTGGGCCTCCCCTCACAAGGGGAGCAGGCTGGGCTACGCCGCACACGTTTGTCCGGTTTTATCGGCTGGATGTTGCACAGTCATCCCTGGCTCAGGCAGTGCTGGATCCTGGTGCCTCAGGTTCGACCTGAGATCCTTGAGCAGCACTGGAGAGTAGCTTCGGGAGCTGGCGCAATCTGGGAGTGGGCCATGTCTCCCATAGTGACACACCGAGCGAAGTTAGAAAAAGAACGTTGGGTTACTTAATGTAATCCCTGGTTCTTTGATAACAGAGTGAGGTGTTTCACCAACACTTCCCTCCTTGCTTAGGCACGGAAAGAAATCTGCTTGGAATGAGTTAGGAGGAGCTGGTTGGCCGTGTTAGAATGAGGGGGCGGAGCCCTGAGCACGGCTCGACAGGTCTGTCATAGACAGACGTGGTGTCATTGGAGCTTCCATAGTTGGTCACGCCGAGGCGATTCCCATAGTGAAACACCTCACTCTGTTATCAAAGAACCAGGGATTACGTTAAGTAACCCAACGTTCTTGCATCTATCAGAGCCTAATGTCAGTGAGCCCTGTGAACTCGTCCTTTAACTAAACGAGAAGAGGGATTAGGTATTACAATCACTGATATTCACTGGGAAGGTTTTGGAGAATATCCATAAATGCTCTTATGATGCAAGACAGTGCTTGACTCAATTCAATGCTCTACATCTACACTTTTAAAGAGGAAGGTTAAATTTCTCCTGTGAGAAATGCTCTCCAGCTGAAGAAACCTTTGTCCTAAGGGGCCGACATCTTTGATTCAATGTGTCAAATTCTTCGCGTGCAGCTGAGCTCTGATCCACTGACAACTATTCAGTGCATTTTTAATGATGCTGTGGGGATAGACAGTGCAAAGCCATGTTTTATATCCTACTGTATTATTTTTGCAAAGAAGCTTATTCTCACTCATTGGAAGGAAAGAGACGCAACTCCCTTAAAGCTCTGGCTTATGATGATGTTGCAAATACATTACATCTGGATTGAACACAACATACTCTGAGTGACAGACTCTCCTCCTTCAGTTGAGTTTGGGTACCCAGCTCTACATGTCTGCAGCTGTAACCAGCAGGTAGTTTTTTGGCTTCTCATTAAGACAGACTAGCTGGACAGCTGGGACTGTGTGTGTGGGAGGCTGTTGTATCACATTGTGTTGCATAAAAAAAACAATTACTGATTCTGTAAATTCCACTCTGTCATACAAACATGTGAACAGCTCAATAAACATATCTGAGGTGGAAGAAGAACTTGCATGACCATAAACAGATTTTCATTAAGATAAAATAAACGCAGTGAACATAACTGAGATGGGGTATGTAATAATCTGACCTGAGACAGGCTGGAGCAGGACTGCAGAGATTCCCTCCATCGCTCCAACACCGTTTTACTGACTCTACCACAGTCGCTGCCATCTGACACAGACACAGACACACACAGACACACACAGACACAGACACACACAGACACACACAGACACACACACACACACAGACACAGACACACAGACACGACCACAGTGATTTTTATTTTTAAAATAGAAACCCGGCTCTACTGAGAAATGTAGAATATCAACCAGATGATAATATTATTAGAAGACAGTCATACCATCACTGGCTTGGTCCTCATCTTTCTTCTTTTTGTTCTTCATCTTATGGTCCTTCTTTGAGTCTTCATCAGCTGCAGATGTGAAAGAGGCAGTTGTTATGCGGTAAACATAAGTGGAAAGGTTTAGTACATATAAACATGTAGCTCTAATAGTTTTGGTGCCACCAACATTTTGCCCTTTCCTGCTCTCCTTTCAGGCAGTCACCTTCACTCTCACACACCATTCACATGCGATCATGTAAAGAAACTCACCGAGCGGAGCTTTGAGGAAGCGTCTCTCGATGCCTTGCTCAATGTTGGTAAGAGCCTGAGCCAGGATTCGTACAGAGTTGCTGACCACCTGAGGAGTTCCACTGCCGCTGGACCCATACGCTGCAGAGCTGTCAGACTTCACCTCCTGAAGCCTGAAGAATAAGCAGCTGTTTACACCGCACACAGGAACGTTCAGCTTTGAACGCACGAAGACTGAAACCCTGATTTGGACACTGGATCATCATGGCCAAACTACGCACCTGTCTCTGGCTCTCAGGTGGGCAGAGTCCACCTCCATGGTCTCCACTCTTCCGTTCATCCCCGTGTTCTCTCTGCCATCAGAAGCGAGCAGCTCATAATTTCCAGCTTCTAACGCCAAGCGCCATACCTGTCTATCCATCACCTGAACATCAAAAGAGTGAGAGAGATGAGTCAGCTGTGGCTTAGGATACCCATCCTTTACCATCGTCAGCAGGAACTCTCACCTTCAGAGTTCCCAGAGTTCCCTGGTGGATCCGGTCCTCAATATCCAGCAGAAGCTCTCTGAGTCTCACCTCCATCATAGACTCAGCTGCAGCAGTGCATTCTGGGAGTGCCTGGGATGACTCTTGATCCTCTGGGTAAATAAAAGGTGTGAGTGATTACTACCTGCATCTGAATAATATTTGTAGTCCTAATGTCCACCCATGTATTTAGGCTCAGGCTCTCTTACCTGTGTGCTTGTATTTGTTTCTGTCACAGCTCTTCAGCAGGTGCTGCAGCCTCTCTCTCTCCTGCAGCAGCGCCTCCTTCAGGCTGCTCTCTCGGTGACCTCGAGGATTCAGAGCCTCGATTAGATGATCAACCTCCTCCAGTGAACTGTAGAAGGACCACTGGTTGGACTGGTTGATTGGTGGGCTGCAGATGTGGAGGGGGGCGGGATTTGAGGCGGCACTTTTTAGTCACGTCACCATCAGAAAGCTGTGTTATGTGTGTGAAACTAACTGGTTCGCTCCCAGTATAAAATGTTACCTACCCTGTACTAGCTGCTTTATCCTTGGCCATTTCCTCTCCTTTCTCCACCTTGGTGGTGCTTGTGTCCTGGTCAGGTTTTGGGCTAGGCTGCAGCATGTCCTCGGTCAGGCCGAAGTGGTCTGCCTCCACAAAAAGGGCGGAGGCTGAAGGGAACAGCCAGTATCGGCGATACAGACGATCTCTACCCAAAGGCAACAGGCAGGTGCAGGCTGCAGCTTTCTGGATGCATTCCTGCAGCTCTCTGACCTGCAGTGACGACAGAGCTGGATCAAACTGAATTCTTCTGCTTTTTAGGCTTTTGTCATTCTCACTAAGAAAGTTGGCTGAAGAAGGCGCCACGAAAAACAAAAAGTGCTTTATGAATACAGACATGTTCACACACACACACGCCTCTGAACATCATTAGTCCTGTGTGCTGCTCAGTACCATTCAGTATTTATTATTTACTGTTGTGTGGTTGTTGCCATGGTTTCCCTGCTGTGTTGTTTTCTTTCTGCTTGTTGAAGCAGATTTTCAGCCTTTTCCCTCTTCTCCTCTTTCCTGTGCCCTGGTTGTGTTTGTTCTGATTGTAATAACTTAAAATAAAAAAATAATAAAGACTGAATAAACTAAGACAATCAAGTGGAACGGTAAATCATCCACTTATAATTCTGATTGCTACAGGGGGAAAAAACGCTGGTTTTAAAAGCAGTTTCAAACGCCTGGACTTTGGCAGAAGGCTTTAATTAAAAGCCTGTTCAGATCAGACGACAACAAGAACTAGGATGTTCAAAGAACACTGAAGTGTTGGTGACTGATATAGCTGCTGTATGACGGTGCTGTGCGTACATGCTCTCTCTTTGTATCGATGACAGTGTGAACAGCAGAACTGTTCCTGACTCCCTGACAGAGAGACTAATAACCAGCGTCTGTTTCTGACCTTCTCCTGCTCTCTCTCCAGCTCCTCTGCCGTCAGGCTGGTGGGACGTTTCAGGTCAGACGCCGTCTGCTGCTGCTGTTCTTTCTGGTTTCCTTTGGCTGGAAGACAGAACAAACACATCTGACTTCAGACATTCACAAACTTTATCGTTCTTCCTGCTTCTTCTTGTTGTCTTTTTCACCTTTCATTATCTTGCTGCTCTGCTCCTCTTCATTTCCAGTGTGATGTTCTGTACACGAGTCACTGCAGAACAAATACAAGAACGTTCTGATATCTGTCAGAGACTCAATGAAAACCAGTAGGAAGGCAAATAAAATCAAAGATTTTATAATATTGACCTAAGTATCGCTAACACGACTGATGGAGTGTCATACACTCGTGGTAAAGATGCCCTTTTACTTGGTTTTTACCAAGACTGTAACCGACATGTGAAAGCCAGCTGTTTATCTTAAGTCTGAACGTTTCAGGCAGAATAAAATGACTTTGCACTTCCCAGTTACTGAAGGAGGCAGTTCACTAAAGTTACGAATGTCTGCAGTTCCCTGCGTACCCATTGGTCTGAAGTCGTCCCTTGAGCTCCTGTTCCTTCATCTTCTCCTCTTTCGCCCTCATCCTCTGCTCCTGCTCTCTCATCTTCTCCTCCTTACGGAGACGAACCCTGGAAGTACACAGCAGGTTAAACCGGTCATGTTCAAGCTTTGACTTTTGTATATACGGTCATGTGTCCCTGCATGTCTGCATTGTGAGCACACTATATAGGAGTACCTTTGTACATCCTTCTCATTACATACGGGTTCTTTTAACTATTGTACATGATGTATAATGTTTTTGAAGGCTCAAAGTGGTTTGTTACAGCATTACCACAGTTGACAATGTAACAAATTACATTAACTTATGCACTGCATTGCTTTTAATGTGCTCCCGATCTGCTGATCTCCTTCTTTTTGGCGGCTCCATATTGTGCTTACATCTCTGTGCAAGCTCGTGACGACCCTCCGAATGTGTCTTTTCAACAGCGCGAATCATTTCAGAGAAATGGGACCTCGTTTATCTTTGGTCTCGTGATGTGAACAGCGGTACGGCCCTTAACGTGAGCTCTATTTGGACACGCCGCCCTTGCTCAACTCATGGCTTCAGTGTCAGATGTCCTCAATAGGCCACATGAAAGGATGAGGCAAGGTCACACAGTGGTTTGACCCCAAACCTCTAGTGGTAATGGCACACTCTTTTTTTCACACCTTGGCTCATGTGATGAGGCAGATGATCAATGGGTCAACGACCCTCGAGGGGGTTTTAATGCCTGGGACTCTCCACCGTTTCAGAGAGGTGAAACGTTTTCATGACAGAAAAAACAAAACTACAAAATTTGACAGGGTTTCACAGGCGGGTGGTTATTTGTCCTCATCTGTAGGACAGACTATGAAGGAACTGGGTCCCGTAAACACTGCAGTACAGAAGCCTGAACCAGTCTATTAACCAGTTCTGGTGACTGAACATTGATTTCAATATTGACAAATCTACACTGCCCGATAGATAACCTTCACTCTTCAGCCGAGTTGTGTGTATTTGTTGGTAAACTGTGCCCGCCCGTGTGCATGTACCTATGTGCAGCCTCCTCCCTCTCCCTACGGTGCTGCTCAGCTCTAATCTCCCTCAGTTCGTGCCTCGCCGCTCGCTGCTCCTCCACACAGTCTTCAATCAAGTCTCTGCTGGACGCCAATGTCAGCACCTTCCCCACCAAAGCCTGCAGGATCCTCAGCTTTTCCCCTGTAGACAGCAATGCTGACTGATGAAACGTGCACACAGCACTATCACTGTATCATTATCTGATCTGTTACATATTCGCTGACTCTTGAACACAAAGCAGATGGTATCTGACCTGGGGTGAGGTCATACACTGCCGTGGATGACAGCTTCTTCAGCAGCGCTGGATCTGCCAGTCGCAGCTCCACACAAGGGTCGTCCATTACGGTGAACCCGCCTTGCTTCTGGTAGCGGAACTTTGCATTCCCGTGGTTACAGTCAGCACCAGATGCCAAAATGTGCAGGCGCAGGATTTCAGACAGCGTGCAGCTGTCTAGGTCGAGCTGCTTCAGACTGCAGCCCTGATGCAGCTGAGGCCAAGCTGCAGCCAATGAGGCGATAGCACTCAGAGCCGAACACGTGGGGTCAGAATCGTCATCCAGAGCGTCTGTCAGGTCTGAAGGCACATGCATAGTAAGAACAAAAGACACATGACACAGACTGTGCACACATGCAATAACGCGACACACACATTTATTATTACATAAAAGTGCACAGAGACGGCAGGCATGGTATCCATGTGTCTCTAAGGTCAGGCAATGCATTAAAATTGGTCATGTCAAGGTGGAGCACAGCACCCTCTTGTGGTCAGCTACAACATAACTGAAGGTTGTAACACGTGTATTCAACTAAACTTTAAAGAGGTCCTGTTGGAGAAAGTTCTTAAAGCAAAGGTCGCCCATTTTAATATCAATAATCAAATTTTGTTTATTAATCAAGGTTTGTTTGTTTATTGTAAATAAAAGGCCCGGTGTCCCCATGGTACACTAGAACTTGAACACAGCTCATAGAGAAAATGATCACATTCAGATAATGGGACAGCTTGTGGGTGTAAGGTTTTCTTGTGTTTGTCAGTTTCCTGTAGTGTACTGCTAACAAAGACAGCAAGTGTGTCTGACCTTCAACCTGGTCTGCGGCTACCTCTTCCTGCTCCTCATCTAGAGCCTGAAAGATGGCTGTCAGGAAGAAAAACAGCAGCTCACACAGAGGACCCTCAGGATCAGAACCCACCAGAGCCTCCTCCAGAACCTCTGTAGGGAGACAGCAGTCAAACACCGCAGTCAGAAAACTGGAAAACTGTACTACTGAACAATAAAGGTCCCGCATCTCTGTACGTTAGAACTAACTCAGTGTTTCACTTTGATATAGGTATTTAAAATCAAAGTCCCTTCTACCAATGACTGAGTAACAAAACTGTAGAAGTTCTAAATAAGTTAAAGAAAAGAATTTGTCTGTTCTGCAAAAAGTCTGATGGACTTTACATAGAAGAAAAGCAAATGAAAGAAAAGGCAGCAGATTATAAATGGCCTTTGTATAGCGCTTTACTAGTCCCTAAGGACTCCAAAGCACTTTACACATCCATTCACACACTGGTGATGGCAGCTACATTGTAGCCACAGCCACCCTGGGGCGCACTGACAGAGGCGAGGCTGCCGGACACTGGCGCCACCGGGCCCTCTGACCACCACCAGCAGGCAACGGGTGAAGCATCTATAATTAGAACCTCCTTTATCTACAGATCACTTTAGCCACAAAACAGCCCAGCATCACACGTAACCAGTCTGGGAGCAGAGTACAGACGAGGACACACTGGAAATGTTGTTAAACAGAGAACAGTAACACAGATTTTAGAAACATTCGTTTTAGTTGGGATGGTTATTGTACTTTGAACATAGAAACAATAACATTTCACTGAAACTGAAAACTACCAGAATCAAAACGATTAGCCCACTGATGGCGACGAGCATCCTTGTTGCTGGATAACAGATGCAGCATGTTCAGCCCACAGGATTTCAAAGGAGGCATTTCTTTACAGAAGCGATGTATGTACTGTCACCTCTGAAGACAAAGCAATGACCCAGACCCAGTTTTGCCGCTGACAGCTGAAGGTTTTCTCCTGTCGTCATGATTCCCCCCACCTTGACTAGATGTATATCAATTTCCTGCTTTGTGAGCGACTCTTAAATCCAGCCTGATTAGGATGTTTTTGATATGCTGCTTTCCAAATAACAGGTCAAACCCCTGTCAGAGTTTGTGTACTTAGGGGTTATCCTCCAATTTACCCAAAGTTTAAGCTTTGAGCATTACCAAGTTAAAACCAGTGTTGGTCAAGTTACTTGAAAAAAGTAATCAGTAACTAATTACTGATTACTTCCCCCCCAAAAATAATCCCGTTACTTTACTGATTACTTATTTTCAAAAGTAATTAATTAATTAGTTACTTAGTTACTTAGTTACTTTTTAAAAACACGATTTGCAACCTGAAGAGGTGATAAAGCGATAGATCTTTCAGCCCAATTCTACTTTTTCCTGCATAATCCATCATACAAAATGTAATCAAATGGAAACGTCTCTTTTTAAAACTTGTTTTATTAGTTTTAATCTTTTAACTTTATGCATCAAGCAAAAACTTAATTATATGCAACATTCTCTGACTGGAATAAATTAGTTTAACATTTAAACCTGTTTTCTGCACATTCCAGCACATGAAATAAAATATTTTTTGTGTTTACACTCAGTCTTTCAAATAGATGCAAGTAAAACACAGCAGAAAATAAATAAAGTCAAAGACTCGGCGGTCTTTTTGTTTTTTTTTACCTGTAAAGCAGGAGTGGGGTAGGCGGAGGGTTACCCTGGTGCAGGTGTGCCGCGGTCAGTGGAAGAATCCGTGAGTTTCTCTGTGAGTTTCCCATCACGTCGCAGCTACTCGGTGCTTGTTGGAAGTTTAGGGGTTTTTCGCTGTAAAAAGAAGTTTTCTTCCCACGCACAGCGGACACTCATGTTTTTGTCACTTTTTATGGAATCAAACTCAAAGTAAGGTCAGTACTTCCACGCTTTATACGCTGCACGCTCATACTCTCTCCCGCAGTCGATATGTGATCCATTGTTGATCTGCACACAGCTGCTGTCACGAACGTCGCACTTCCTTACGTCACTGTCGTGAGACTTCTCGCAAAAAAAAATCACGGTTTTAGTAACGCAGTAACGCAGCGTTCCTACGGGAAAGTAACGGTAATCTAATTACCGTTTTTGCAATAGTAATCCCTTACTTTACTCGTTACTTGAAAAAGTAATCAGATTACAGTAGCGTTACTGCCCATCTCTGGTTAAAACACAATAAAAAGGACAGTTTTTCAGGAATCTTGTATTTTTATATGGTGTGCATATAGAAATAATTTATTCTTTATAAAGAAATCTAGTATGTTTAGAAATGCTATGTAGAAAATTCATGGCTCTGTTGAAGCATTTGTGAACCTTTCACTGGAGGACGAGGTTAATAATTCTGCCATCAACTGTAAAGAGCATGTAGAAGTATTCTCACCCAGAGAGACCCCATCAGGGAACTCATCCTTCAGGTCAAAGGCCTCACCAAAGGCCTGCAGGAACTCCAGAACCATCAGAGCATCTCCAAAGAGCTCTGCTGGAAGCCGGGTTTTCACTGGAATTGGCCTTGGCAGCTCCTGGTGGGAGAAACAAAAGAGGAAGACATTCAGTAAAATTATAAATCACGTCAGCAGTAATGACACCCGTGACACGGCTATGTCAATCAGAGGTCATTAAAATCAATCAGTGTGTAACTTTGCCAAAGCAATGTGGGACTCTGGTCTTCTCTGGTCCCCTCCCCAATTAGACCAGGAGTCACATGTTTAGTCACATGTTCTCCTTAAATTGCTGTCTGTCTAGGTGGTGTCCAAAAAACCATGTGGGCTTTATATACTCAACAAAAATATAAATGCAACACCTTTGTTACTGCTCCCATTCCCCAGTGGGATGGATCTAGAGACCTAAAATTCATTCCAGATACACAATATAACCATCCCTCCCAAACAGTGGTCACAAATCAGTCCAAATGTGTGGTAGTGGGCACATCTGCTATATTGAGATAATCCATCCCACCTCACAGGTGTGCCACATCAGGATGCTGATCTGACATCATGAGTAGTGCACAGGTGTACCTCAGACTGCCCACAACAAAAGGCCACCCTGGAATGTGCAGTTTTGTCTCACAGCAAAATGCCACAGATGCCACAAGCAATGAGGGAGCGTGCAATTGGCATGCTGACAGCAGGAATGTCAACCAGATCTGTCGCCCGTGCATTGAATGTTCATTTCTCAACCATAAGCCGTCTCCACAGGCGTTTCAGAGAATATGGCAGCACATCCAACCGGCCTCACAACCGCAGACCTCGTGTAACCACACCAGCCCAGGACCTCCACATCCAGCAGGTTCACCTCCAAGATCGTCTGAGACCAGCCACCCAGACAGCTGCTGGAACAATTGGTTTGCACAACCAAACAATTTCTGCACAAACTGTCAGAAACCGTCTCAGGGACGCTCAACTGCATGCCCGTCGTCCTCATCGGGGTCTTGACCTGACTCCAGCTCGTCGCCGTAACAGACTTGTGTGGGCAAATGCTCACATTCGATGGCGTCTGGCACGTTGGAGAGGTGTGCGCTTCACGGATGAATCATGGTTCACATTGTTCAGGGCAGATGGCAGCTGAGAATGTCCCAGTTCTTGCATGGCCAGCATACTCACCGGACATGTCACCCATTGAGCATGTTCGGGATGTGCTTGACCGGCGTATACGACAGCGTGTACCAGTTCCCACGAATATCCAACAACCTCGCACAGCCATTGAAGTGGAGTGGACCAACATTCCACAGGCCACAATTGACAATCTGATAGACTCCATGCGACGATGTGTTGCACTGCATGAGGCAAATGGTGGTCACACCAGATACTGACCGGTTCTGGGTCCCCAGACCCCCAATAGCGCAAAAAACTGCACATTCCAGGGTGGCCTTTTGTTGTGGGCAGTCTGAGGTACACCTGTGCACTACTCATGATGTCAGATCAGCATCCTGATGTGGCACACCTGTGAGGTGGGATGGATTATCTCAATATAGCAGATGTGCCCACTACCACACATTTGGACTGATTTGTGACCACTGTTTGGGAGGGATGGTTATATTGTGTATCTGGAATGAATTTTAGGTCTCTACGTCCATCCCATGGGGAATGGGAGCAGTAACAAAGGTGTTGTGTTTATATTTTTGTTGAGTGTAGATAAAGCATTATGGCCCCGCCCCTCAATGAGCCTGGTTCTGGTTTCTTCCTGTTAAAAGGGAGTTGTTCCTTCCCACTGTCACCAGGTGCTTGTTCATAAGGAGTCTTCTGATTGTTGGGTTCTGTGTGTGTTATTGTAGGGTCTGCCTTACAATATAAAGCACCTTGAGGTGACTGTTGTTATGATTTGGCGCTGCAGAAATAAAACTGAACTGACTCAGTGTTTACAAAATGAAACAACTGAAACTACAACATAACTGCAAGACCCCAAAACTTGATTAATGCTTCTGTAGCAGCGACTCATAGATGATGACATCTGATGCTGCATCTTGAACCCTGGGTTATAATCTGTTGCAAACATGGACACCAGGAGGACCAACGACTGAGTAGTCATTCCTGTAACAAGGGAGTCCAAGCAGTCACACAAAACAGGCAGGCATCAGCACAGACCCTCATGCTCACTGTCTGATGATTTACATCACAGGACCCAAGTGAGTTCCAGGCGAAAGCATCATTAAGGCTCAAATCCTCCTCACGAGTAGTTGCTACGCCATTTTTAGAGGCCTATACTGACTTCAGTGCCACGTCACCACAGACAGGAGGGCACAGACTACAACAGACACTGTCCTCTGATTTACATTAGACCAAGCTCCTTCAAAAGCTTGTCTCACGGCTCCTCAGACAACAACAGGCACTACTGAGTCACTCTCTCATGTAAAGATGACAGTGCATGGATAAATGCAGGCATATGCCGTCAGTGAGGAACAGTGTAACACAAAACAATGAGGAAGTGAAAGTTTCCTCATCCCGAGTATTCAGACACAGCATTGCATTTGCTAATGTTTCTTCTTTTAAATGTGACAACTGTGTTGTATACTGTGTAAATGACGTCCACTGGCTCGTTCCCCTGGACCAACACTAAAGTTTCAGTCAACACGTTTGTCCAAATGTGCTCATGGCAGAGGCGGTGCATTCACTGACCTTCAGGTCTTCACACTCCATGTCCTCTCTGGGTTTGCTCCAAAGCTTCAGCTGCTCTGCGTATTTCTTCTTCTCCTCCTTTAACTTCTCTCGTTCCTGTGAATCAGAAAACATGTCTCAACACCATTCCTGTAATTTTTTCTGATGTGCAGCTTTAATCATCAGACGTGCAGCTACATCTGATGATTAAAGATACTTACCCGGTCTTTCTCCAGCTTCCTGCGCTCCTTCTCCTCCCTCCTCCTCTGCTTCTCCTCTTCAAACCTGCGTCTCTGTTCCTCCCTTAGCCTTTCCTTGTCCTCCCTCTCCCTCCGCTTGGCTTCTTGCACCTCCTCCTTTTCTTTCTTCAGTCGCGCTTTGTCTTGAGCTGCAGCCACCATCTCCTCCCTCTGCTGTAGCAACTTCAATTTCTCCTCTGCAGCTTTCAGTAGAGATGAACTCGCCTGAAAACAACGTTTACATGCTTTATTTCTACACAAACGTAACATTTCAGGTTTACCTAATGAGAGTAAACCGCAGACACCACTGACACTCATTCCTGTTATACTACAGTTTGAAGGGTGCACACATGTACTCTGTGTCTAAGGATGACGTTTATGTAACCTGGACCAAATAAACCTGTTCATCTTGTGGATACAGAAACTTTGACACTAACATGTGTGAGTGGTTTCCTCAAAGATCAGTTCTGCAGCAACAATTAATATCAAGACTTTTGAAGAGTTTGGAGTTTTTAATGGAAAACATAACAAGATAGCAGCGTGTCAGGCTAATGTGACCAGCTCACATTTATAAACAACGTTTAAGTAGAAGTTGTTGTGAAACTGTGACGTTTCAAAGAGAGCATGCAGGGCGTGCCTGCCCGGCTGATTAGACACTTAAAAACACTGGACTAATCTAATCAGATTTCATTGATGTACAGCATCAGTGTGATAATCCACACATCAGCTACTTCTAATGACTGTCAAAAAGCTGCCACTAGATAGCAGCAGGCCCCTCTGCCTCTCGTTGGTGCGACTAAATGCAGACATCAACCCTCACTCTTCCCAACGCCCTGCAGGAGCAAACTCAACTCTACACCTGGAAGGCTTTTGGCAACCACAAGCCTGGACTCACCCCCGTTTCCTGTTTCTCGTTAACGGCTCCATGTTAAACCGTGCTGGCGTCAACATCGCTGCTGCTGTTGTGATATCAGCGTTTTGCTTTAACACCCGTGTGGGCCTGATGTTGTACTTTTTATTTACACTTATGGAAACAGGCTCCGTCTTGACAAACTGACCAGATATTTAAAGATTATGTCACTACATTCTCTGCTAAAAAATATTAAAAGTGTATTTGGTGAAGCACAAACAGGCTATTTCAAAACATCAAGTATAGTTTGGGTGACTTTTACATGGTCGGTACAACATCTGCCCCAATTTGTCGATCAATGTCAAACTGTCCCCTCACTGGTCAACAGCACAGAGCTCTGGGGTCGCATCCAAATCACTCGACCAATTTAAGATGATATCACTGAGGAGCGGCCACACCAAGTTTCCATTTCAACTTGTGTTGAAGGTGCGGACTTCAAACTATATATATGTTTTTAAAATTGTGTTAATGAGCCAGTCAAACCAGAGTTATACGTGGAATATATGCGAAGCTTTTTCCTGAATACTATCATCATGTTTAGAGCAGGAAGGACAGGCTCACAGGCGCACTCTGCTCGCACTGAACCCGTTTACTATTGGTGGGAAAATGCACCACGTCAAACACAAGAAGAACGACATGACCACGTCGTATTTGGTTGTTAAGGAAGAGGAGAAAGTTTGAGGAGCGAGTGAGTTTTAGCGGGATTTGAGACGAGAGATTGGTGCCACAGTGTGTTTGGAGTGTAGTCGTTTGTTTTGTGTCAGAACAATGAAGACAAACCAAATGTCACAGTCGCTGCCAAAAAGCCACCAGAGGCCGTTTGCAGTGTAAACGCAGGGGGGTGATACACCTGCTGGCAGGCCTGTGATTGGCTCCTCTGTCTTGTGTTGGACAGAAACTATTTTGTGGAGTGGCACAAATAAATTCTGTGACAGCGAACTGTTCTGTCATTTTAATTTTAGTGGTTTGAAATTGTACAAAAAAAAGACACTGGCTGCATTTTTAGGTAAATAGTTGCATATAACTTTGCTGTTTTTAAAACTGAGACTTTCTCGTAGCATTTCATGATGATTTTCGCATTTTCTTGTGAATTAAGATCAACTGTATTAATGTCAGAATGAAAAAACGACTGTAAATTCAGAAATCAACCAGTCTTGGACTTGGATGTGCCGACTGTCATTCCCATTGCTTCACACTCTGCTGCAAACTGCTCCAGTGTAAGATGGAGGTCATAACTTGATGAGGCCAACATAGTGAACTTCGAACCGGTGAACGTCTACCGCCGCACCACCCAGAGCATCCTGACCAACTGTATAACAGTCTGCTACGGGAGCTGCTCTACCTCGGACCAGAAGGCGTTGCAGAGGGTGTGAAAACCCCAGCGCATCGCCGGAGCACCACTTCCTGCCATAAAGGACATCTACAGGAAGCGGTGTCTGAAAAGGGCTGGGAAAATCATCAAAGACCCCAGTCACCCATCACATGGACTCTTCACCCTCCTGCCCTCTGGGAGGCGCTACAGGAGCCTCCGGACTAAGACCACCAGGTACCGGAACAGCTTCTTCCCCACAGCTGTCAGACTCCTGAACTCTGCCTCCTGACATCTGACCCACGTTAACACATGGACTGAACATACACACACCCACAATGACCTTACCTCACACACATAAACAGACTGACACCACTCACAACCACTACACACACACACAACACACAGCACACACACACACACAGCACAACACACACACACACACACAACAACACACCCACACACACACACACACCACCACACACCCACACACACACACCACACACACACCAAACAAATGGACAACTGTACCCTCAAACACACAATAACAACATGGGCTGAACCACCACTCACAACCACCAGCACTTTATATAACCACTGTGGAAATTAGCCACTCTCACTGATCTAAACTGCACTACTGTGCAGACAGTCATTCTGTACAATGTGATAATTATAGTTCTACAACTGTTTAATAAAACTCACTATTGTATATCTAAAATCTGTATAGTTTTCATACGCATAACCTGTCCATAGCCTGTGCACTCACTACAGCTATAGCCTGTACATAGTTATAGTATATTCATAACATACCTTCATACATTGTACATTGTAACATTCCTATAATAGATCCATACTCTGCAATATATCCATATTACTGCTAAAGCACTTCTGGATGGATGCAAACTGCATTTTGTTGCCTTGTTCTTGTGACATGTGCAATGACAATAAAGTTGAATTCTATTCTATGCACGAAAACAAAGCTGAGATCCTGAAACTACTGAAGTGGAGATCCACCAACAGCTGGTTACACACCTGCTGATGGAAACTATGAACAGAACTAGGGCTGTGCGATATGACCAAAACCTCATATCCCGATACAAGACATTTATCGTCCTGACAACGATATAAATCACAAAAATTTGACATTTTCTGTAAAGTCTGTGAATCTCGGGCAGCTCGACTTGCGTGAAGTGTTTCCAGCTGGGCGTCGTGTACCTGGAGTCGAGTGTTTTGACCGATGCATGAAACGATACATTTGTAGACACAAGTTGTAACGGCGCCGTTTTCTTTCAAAGTTTGAGTCTAAGGTTTATTTTTTAGCCTGACGGCTCTTTTTTGCTTCTCCTCCGTAAACTCTCTGCACACTCTTCAAAATAAACTGAATTACATGCAAAAGTCTCAACAGCGTCTTGAGCTTTATGGTGAAAGGTTTACGTGGAAAACAAACAGGTGGACGGCGGAGCCACGCGATGGTTTTACCGTCGCTATTGCTAACGACAACACGTACAAACAGGCGCTTGTCTGTCCGTAGTGTGGTTATATTAAATATAAGAGAAAGAGAGAACTTTAAGAAATTAATGAAGTCACTACAGTGACATCAGAACATGAAAAAAATATCGCCGTAAACAGTTTATTTTGCGACACCACGAAACAAACGATAGCGTAAAATGAAACGACAGACGTTTTTTTATATCGTCATCAGATATATATCGTTATATCGAACAGCCCTAAACAGAACCTGTGACAAGCAGCTGGAAGTCCACTGGGAACAAGTCCAGCAGACATTCAGACCAAGTTCTCCCTGCATTTGTATGGGACCATTCCTCCTGAATCTGAGGGCTGACCAACACGTGGACTCACCTTTCTGCCACAGATTTTCTTAAAGAGCCAGAGTAACTGAGACATATAACCTCAGATCTGGGATACGAACACAAACTCTTTCATCGACCTTCAACCGAGGATATGTGGTCCTCCTGTGGACGGGGGGGCCCACCGGAGAGGGGACCCGGGTAGCTTCTTTGGCTGGGCCCCAGGGGCTAAGGGCCAGCCATCAGACTCTGAAGCCCGGCTTCAGGGTAGGACCCCGTTAATCCTTTGTCACCCCCAATTAACCCTACTGTATGCCAGTGCATGATAACTCATATGTACCTGTCCGGGTGAGTCACGCCTTCCACATTTAGAAGAGGGGCTGAAGGAGAATAGGGGGGGCTCGTCAGGAAAGAACTGAGAGAAGGTCTGTTTAGACAGCTGGTACTTTGCCATGGAGGAGGGCTGAAACACAGCGAGAGACGACAGCAAGGTTGTGATTAGGGTGCTGCAGCTGCAGGTGCACCAGATGCTGACTTTAGCAGTAATATTCTCACCTTTAGTGTGACGATCCCATTCTGAGGCTCGCAGTGCTGCTTGAAGAGCAGCTTCAGTCTCTCTCTGGACAGAGCGCTTTTCTTGCGACTTAATACAAAATAAATCAATTAGTTTAACAATGAGAAACCACTTTCCCATCAGTGCCTGAGCGCAGTGATTCCCACTCCAACTCAGCCCACATCAGTGTTTTATTAATGTGTCATGCTTCACCTTTACAACATGTATAGTCAAGATATGGAACAAAACACTTGATAATTCCAGCACTGAACAGTGAACAGACAAGGAAGTCCTCTCACACCACATCTTTAAATGCCAATAATAGCACATCGATTTAGGATTAAGTGTCTGACACAGAGCTTGTAAGTTCTCCCTGCTCTGGTATCCTCCCACAGCCCAAAGACCTGCAAGTTAGGTTCAAATCACCAATTACCCCATCTACTGATGTAAGGATGATGAAGTAGTTGAAGCTGATAGAATAAAGATCTGTACAAATGTTAATTACAAATATTCTGTCATTAAAGTCGTTTCAGAGAGAAGACTACAGAAAGCTGAACATGAGTGGATGAATGTTCATCAGACATCAGGTGATATCCAACAGCAGCACACGTCCTCAGTTTACTATGGCTGCCTTTTGCACCACACTGGCTTCTTCCACATGAACCTGAGCACAGCTGCTGCCCCTGAAGTATTACACAGTAATACTGCTACTGTACTAGTAGTTACTGTAAGAAATTTGTGTTTCACAGAGTATTATGTACCACGACGTTTACCCCGTTGAACGCAGCAGATTGTTATTTTATTGCATTATGAGAATACTTTCCATGGTTGTACCTGGGAGCTTCTCACCTGATCTGATTGGCTTTGACGGTGAATGGCTCGCTGTGTTTGTTCTTCATCATCCTCACTGTGTATTTGAACACTGATGGACTCAAAGACTTCTTCCTGCTAACACACACACACACACACTTTAGATCACACTTCAATAACTTGAGATCGTAACATTGACATGACCTTTCACCTACTGACCCATTGACTTGTACTGTGGAACTCTGGAAGGCGCTGTGCTCGTCATCACTATCACTGATGACAATCGTGTCATCGTCAGCCATCTTGCCGTGGCCGTTAACGTCTGGTGCTCGACTAACACTGGAATCAGGCAGGTGTACCTGCAGGATCTCACACACATATCTGAAAAGCAAAAGCAGAAAATGACCTCACGCCACCTGGTCTCACCTTTGCTCTTTAACACAGAAAGATGGAGGCTAACAATCTGTAAGTACACAAACATGGATATATTTCAAATGTGTACCTGGCTCCGTTACATCCACTGATGTCCACCACCTCCCCAGGAAAGAACCGGTCTTTGACAAAAGTGTAGACATCCTCACAGAGCTCTGTCAGCCTGCAGCACTGGCTCAAAGCAGCAAGGTGGAGCAGAGGCACCACCAAAGACTGAGGGAAGCTCTCCAGACTCTGCCTTGCCCGCCGCTCACTCTCCACTGCCTCAAGATAAGTGAGTCCCGCTCGCCCCGTCAGAGCACAGCTCCACACCAAGCTGTTACACAGAATGGTCCTCTCAAAGAACTCGCTGAGGAAGAGGAGGGTCACAATCAGATATTAATGCACACACAGCCTCTTTATATTCAAGTCCAGTTTCTAGAAGCTCCAAGAATGTTTACAAAGACACATCAAGTGTCTCTCATCTCGTTCACTGTCCTGTATGACATTCAGAACTTATCCAAAGACCAGAACCCTGCAGACAGTTCTCTATAAGGCAGGATTGACAAGTATGACCCCCATCATATGCTGGTCGAAATTATTTTAAAGTTTTTCCCCACACAGTTATTTTATTTATTTGGCTGTTAACTGCTGTTCAGTCAGTTACTGATCCCAGTACCAGCTCCACCAATGGACTCCAGCAGGTGATGGCTGTCCTCGTTTTGTTCTATAGGCTTGGTAGGTTCACTGCAAAGGAGTGGATCAGTTCTTCACCTGATTCAGGTCTTGGTTAGAGTGGCATTTCAAGTCACACCAAATCTACAGTTCAAAACAAGGAGTAACACCATCAGCTGCAGACCAAGACAGTCCAGTGCAGAGCAACATCCAGGACCACTGAAACAACCCGAGCCCTGTACTACAAAGAGAGTTCAACATGCACAGGTCCAGTTCTTTGGATTCACTTCGCTAACACGTGCCATCAGAATACGCAGCTACATGAAGGCGGTGATCAACTGACTAAGCAGTCCCAGGGTTTCTCTGCTTGTTCATGTGAACAGGGTGGAAGGAAACATCTAACCAGTCACTTTTATGGATAAGTACACTGGCAGGAGAAGGACTGACTTTACAGAGAATGATAAAACTATACTATGAGAAAAACAAGGGATGAAACACATAATATGGATGAAACAACACAGCTGCTGCAGAAGAGTGAGAGTGATGTGAGAGTATGAAGGCAGGAAGTATTTAATAGAATCCGTTTGTCTGCCTGTTTTATAGCAGTGTAGCCTCCACAGTTTGAGATGGTTTTTCGTGTGACGGTAAAAACCAAAAACCGTACAAGCTGATTTCATGTTGGTGAAGATTGGATCCATATGAAGGTCAAAGTCACACCAAGTGTGAAAGCATGCAGAGTTCTGTGAAACCACAGAGAGACAAAGAATGGAGACTGAGTCTAACAGCTCAGGATCCAACGCACACCACCTCGTCTAACATGGTGGAGGCATCATTATAGGATGGCTGTGTACTGCTGCCAGTGGAACTGGGCCATTAGTGTTTGCTGATGGGGAGCAGATGAACTCTAAAGCGTAATGCTCTCTGCTCAGAGTCATCTAAATGCTGCAAAACAGACCGGACTGCATCTGCAGTGCAAATGATAATGACACCAGATATACATGAGGACAGCATTACTAGACTCAAAGTGTTAATGAGCTGTTAACAGATTATTAAACAGATTTTAACACAGCTCTGCCAAACATTCAGTTCAGCACTTTGTTGAAGCAAGTGAGTAATGTTCACTTTGTCCTTCTGCAGGCAGTTCTTCACCAGGAGGGAAGGGGGTTGTTGTATCGTCATCATTTTGGAAGACGAAGCGTCGACACAGACCCGCTTTGGCTGTCTTTCAAAGTCTTCTCCCATCATTCTCTCTTCTTGATCCCTCCCACCTTAAGAAGATTTCCAGCTCTGATCTCTCCACAGTATGATACTCCCACCACCGTGTTTCACTGTGGAGGCTGGGTTCTGTGGGTTGTATGCATCTCTCTTCAGTCAACAAACATAAACAGGTCTTCTCCAAAAAGCTCTAGTTTCACATCATCTGCCGAAAGGAAGCACTTCCAGTAACACGATCTTTCTGGAACCTCAACCTGAAATCTTTATATTATGTTGGAATCTGAAGATCCCCATTTTAATTTGACTTTGAAAGCACTGAGCATTACATTAAATTGCTAAACATTTATACATTTTTCAGAGTACTAATAAGATTGACCCTGGTGGTTTTCTGAAATAATTTGTATGCAAAAAAACCAAAAAAAAAAGCTTTCTATAGAAAACCAGCATGTTTAGAAGTCCTATGTTATGGCCAAGTCAGTCATCTGATGTCAGCCTAACAGAGCATACTTCTCCATTATTAAAGACAAAACTGAATGCAGAATAACCCGCAAGCAGCAACTGAAGCTGGCTGCAGTAAAGGTCTAGCACACCGATGCAAAGGAGGAAACTGGTTGTAGACTTCAGGCAGACACTGAATATTACATGAATTTACTTATGTAGAGCCAAAACACAACAGTCGCCTCAAGACACTTTAGATTTTAAGTTAAAGACTCCACAACAACTGCAAGTGTGCACTTCAACATGATATCGATTGATTTACAAAAGGCTGTGGTGGTGTACAGAAAGAAAGAAATACATAAAAAGTGTCTTTGCCCCAAACATTAGGGAACCATATGTTTCCAAAGTGCTACACCTCAGGAAGTACTGAAGCATCTTCGAAGCACAGAAAGCTCCAGGGTTAACAGTAAAGTTATCTGGATAATTCAACCTTCTGCTTTGTAGTACAGGCTTGTACAGTACGGACTAACTGTTATGAAGCAGGCAAACATCCAAAGTAAGACTGAGGGCGGTATCCCTTACTAAAGCCAATGCAACGTTGTCTCAGACAAATGAAAAATATATATTAAAATCCAGAACTGCAAAATGTAGCAGGAGAGACTGGCCAAGTAAGTTTCTTTAGTAAACTCTGTTTCTTTCTAGTTTGTAATTCTAGCACATTTTAATAATCTACTTAGTTCCTCCTACGCCGGGCAGCGCATCGCTACTTGATCTACTTGATTAAAACTAATCAAATGATCTGATTAGCTCCCAGAAAGGGAGAACAGTTCCCAACAAACTAAACCTGATCTAAAACTGAGTGAACATTTGTACAGAGAGCGTAATAAACACAAGTGATACAGGTTACGGGTGTGCCATCAGTCGCATACGTGGACAGGTATATTTGCACCTTCTTTAGTGTAATTTTACATTCTTTGTATGTTCTTGTTTTACTCGAACTTAATTTTCCCGATCGTCTCTCTAGGCTACAGCACCCCCCCCCCGCACATTTGGAAGCCCAAGCTTGCCTTTATCAATTATGCAACATCTGTTAACTGCCTTGTAGTCACTTTTGGGTTTCAGTGCGAAGACGTCCACAGAATGTGAACCTCTTTTTGAACCATACTTGGCTTTTTAACTTTTAACTAGAGGCAGTTAAAATATTAGGAACTGTTCAACGCGTAGGAACCAGGGATACAAATATGCAGGCGCTAATCTTAGAAAACAAACCAGCAGATCCATCAATCATAATAATTATATGCACAAGTAATTTTCAGTTTTGTCAATGTCATAACAAAGGCTCCTCTAAGACCTGTACGGTATGCCAATATGAATAATGCTCAGAAATACAAGTGTGCATGTAGATGTAGTCAGTGAGTACACCATGTTAACTTCATCAAATGAAGAATTAGTACAATCTGCACATATTTCAACTCTCTGCCAAAACAAGTAAGCAGGTCTCTATATAAAAGCAGAGAAACAAAGTGAAAAGTTTGTCTTACTTGAATATAAATTTGAGGTGTGCCACCTTTTGTTTTACACCGTTTTTATTGCTAAAGCTGTCAGAAAAAACAGAAGTTGTGACGTATCGCGTCATGTTTGCCACTATGTTACAGTGGAGCAGATGTATAAAGTTACACATAATGTTTGAGTACTCTTACCTAACATGTACCACTATATACTGAAGCTGTCAGCTGAAGACGTCCACGGTCCATTTGGCCCGAGTTTCTTCAGACTGACGTCGAGTTTAGCGGAACTTTAACTTCAGTTTGGAGTAAAAACAGAGAACTTCTTTGATTTTTTTTCCCCTCGGGAAAATGACCGAGTGAGTTTGCAAACTTCATGTGTGCTCTTAAAAAGCACTCTTAGTGCGCTGGACCTCAGCAGGTGGGTGCAACAGACCTACACTATGAACGGATACCGAGCCTCACCACATCAAGCTAACTGCTAAAACTAGCTGAGCTAACCGCCGGCTCACTGACAGCTTCAGTGTTAGCTTACCCAGCTAACCCACTTTAGCTTCAGTTGGCTAACTGACTTGGATAACATTACACCTGCCAAATCCCACCTTCAAACCCGACTATCTGCTTTAACCTACGTTTTAATGGCGCGGGAGAAGGGGGACATGCATCCCCCCGCCCGAGCCCATAAAAGTTTTTTGTTTTGTTTTTTCAGGACAAAAGTTGTTTTTTTGTTCATCTTGTTTGGAAGTTTGCTAAGCACCAACTGTCAATGAGACATCGTTCAAACTTCAGTTCAAGTGACTTAAAGGACCCTCCAGGTGAGACAAGTGGCTGTAAGGTACTTACTCGTAGGTCCTGAAGATTTCGTGCGTGATTTTACAGAGAAACACCTCCTCTTCTGGTCGTAGGTCCGCCGGGGGTTTCTGTCGGATGAAAGGTTTTCTGTGGAGAAGCGGCATCTTTCAGCTCCGCTTCCACCGGCCGCACTTAGAAAATAAGAAGGAAACTGGATATATCAATATCCGAAGATCAGACGTAAACTCTGACCAAACACTTCAAAGTAAAGTAAACCCGGAACCCGGACTGTGAACGCGGCGGAGATTAACCGAGTGGTAGGAGACAAGAGGAGGTGAGCGGGTCTTTTGTTAGACGCGCTGATAATCTGACCACATGGAAGTGTACTCCTCACCGTGTAAATCGACACACTCAACTCTTAGAGAGTAAAATAAAAAATCACAAAGCCCACATCCACTCGCTCCTAGTAAAGAACAGCTTAAAAACGCGTTTCTGGTGGTCTTTACCGAGTTGTGTAACAAAGAAGCGATAATACGCCGTCCAATCTGAGGAAGAAGTCCGGGCTGAAAAGCCGCTCACTGGCGGCTTGTTGACCAAGTTTTCGTGTACTTCACGGACCCACAAAGAGCTGGGAAATGTTACGGTTTCGCTTAATCTTCATTCTTCACCAAAATAAAAGTACTAACACCACCATTTAAAATCAGTCTGTTACAAATATAAATACTGCATCTGAAAGGTTATTAAAGTAGTACGTAAGCATGTAAGTGTTATTATGAAATCAGGAAAATCAGAAGAAAGAACAAATGATGGACACTGAATGAATTATTTCCAAATAGTTCCAAACCGCTCTCCCTGACCCATCACACCGTCTCTACTCCACAGTTGTGATTCAGCAGAGCTCCTTCTCCCTCAGACTGATTCTGCTTGGTTTATAAGAACCTTTATAAGACGTCCTCACAGAGCTCTGTCAGCCTGCAGCAAGGTGGAGCAGAGGCACCACCAAAGACTGAGGGAAGCTCTCCGGACTCTGCCTTGCCCGCCGCTCACTCTCCGCTGCCTCCACATAAGTGAGGATATTGGATAGATATTGAATCTGTAAATTCAATATCTCTATAAAGCTGTATAATAACTATGCATTCAGATGATCCCAAAAGTATTCTTGTACTATACCTTCATGCAGCTGTATTTCTTAGATTTATAGTGTACATGTAATTTAGTGCACTTTGCATCATTTACACAATGCTAGTCTTACTTTTACTGCTTTTAACTAACTTCATTTTTACATTTCTTTGTTTTTTATCATTCCTATAAATCTCATCGTATAAGGTTCTTACCAGGAGCATGTGGCACTTTTATTTTAACTGTGTTATTTATTTGTTGTTCATTGTAGACTTTACTATTTTTACTCTTTATCACGCTGCTGTAACAGCAGTGGGCTCAATAAAGTATCTGTCTGTCTAGTTTTTGGTCCACTGATTCTATTGCTGTTACTGGTTCAAAGGGGGCAACAACTTATTATTATTTTTACCTACGTTTTTCTCATTTGTTATTATTTGCTGTATAGAAAAGTATTAATTACAAAGAACCCAGTGACACAGACACAAAATGTGTTTTTTTTCTCAAACAAATGACTTTTATCCAAGCCTTTACATTTATTAAATGTACAGTTTAACAAAGAAAAACATACTTAAAATGGGTTAAAAGAAAATAAATTTAAAATAGCACATTGTTAAGATGTCCTTGACAGTGTCTCACCATATTTTCGATGTATATAAATCACCGTGGCTGCATAGTAACATAAGTGTTGGGAGATAAACACAGTGGATAGAAACATAGAAAACGTATAAAAATGGCAGCCTGTGCGGCTGAGCAGCTGAAATTCTACCAAGAATATTTACTTCAGAATTATAGCAATGAACTATGATTAAAGCAATAAAGCAAATACTCATAAAAACAAAAACTGGAACTAAACTAAACTCCAGAACATGATCAGAAAATGCAACAGCAAGTAAGAGAAAACCGCTTACTAAACCATTAAAAGACTTTGTTACTGAATTGCTTTGCTTCACCCAAACGCACCATCCAGAGTCTTGGTGGGAGGGTTTTCCTGTCTTCCTCAAAGGCTGTTGGTCCGCTGACCTGCCATGTTGTAACTGCCAACCAACCAGGCTTTATGAAAAGTCCCCCACCCCCCCACCACCACCCCCCACCCCCTTTCCGCAGCTACACAGGGAGGCTCGCGTCATCATGGTTAATTCCTCGCATTAGTTCCCGGAAGTCGGCAAAATGCGCTAGCCGCGCCCATATCGGCGCATAAGTAAGACATGCACGTGTAAAAGGTTAGATGTTTTTGAAGAATGACACTGTATGTTATCAGCACACTTAGATCATATGAATTTGTGAATGAAAACCTAGTAGTGGATTATCCACAGAAAATTAGTAGTGTTTTAAACAGAAGACAGGTTAGAAACATATTATTAACCAGGAATACCAACAACATTAAATCAGAAAAAAGGGCTTCAAAACTTAGTTTTACTGGGCTGACCAAGTGAAATACTAGCTAAGTAAGACATTATGTAGCTGTCTGATCTGTTGCACACTGGTATGTATGACCTAGTATGATAAAAATGATAACTGCACAACAATCAGGGGAAAAACTGTATTTTTGTGACATACAGCTCTAAATAAAGATTAGAAGAGCAAATGTAGGAAGTTTTGTTAACAGTGCTTTTGTGGTCCTGATGATTACTAGCATCTGTTTTCTCTTACAGTTTTAAACAACTGTACTACACTAATCTGACAATATACTATTACAATATTAGTATATATTGATTGCACAGTTTCAGAGTAACTGATGACACTTGTCAAATATCATCAACCACGCCTCACGTCCTGATGCACTTACCTATCCCAAGCTTGTACATGTGTGGGCAGCACTTTCTGTCTTTTCTCTCTTCTAACTCTGTCCGCACAAGAACCACAGGAGGATTCAGGCTGGAAATTGCACTGAGACAGCACCCTGAAACTCATCTCCCTGAATGCTTCTGCCGCTGCCGCCCATTTCCCTGTTTTTGTTGGTGTTGTTCGCTTTCTTGCGTGTGTGTCCTGGCCTTTCTGCTCGCTGGGTGCATGGTCCTTTACACTATATATGAATTAATTCAATTCAAAATTTAGTTTATTTGAATTCATATCAGTTTTGTTTTATTTATATAGTGCCAAATCACAAAAACAATCAGGATTCAACTTTACTGTTATTTCACATGTATACATACAGGGTAAGAAATACAGTTTGCATCTAAGCAGTAAGTGCAATAGGAGCAGATTATATACAGATAAGTTAAGTAGAGACCAAATATACAGATGAACTGCAGACAAATGTACAGATGTAATGTTGTATATGTATATACAGATGATCTCTATAGCATGCAGATGTTCTATATTGCTGTTCAGAGCTCTACGGCAGTGGAAGCGTAGAGCTCTGACAGACTATAATAGTGAACAGTGTGAGCACTATAACAGAGACTATGTTATGTCAGTGTCCTAAACTATAGCAGTAACCAATGTGAGCATATGGTGCATGTTGAGAATGAATGGCAGTCATGATCATGGTCACTGGGAGGGATGGGGGGAGGAGGAGTGTAGAAGGGTTAAGTGAGTGTGGATGGAAAGGTTCAGCAGAGTTCAGTACGGTGACAGCTGTGGGGAAGAAGCCGTTCCTAAACCTGCTGGTGTTACTGGTTTCTTATTGGTTTCACTCTAAGCAGCAACAAATCAAAGACATTATATTCTGCAAATAAATTGTATGCATGTCAAATGTTTGTGCATGTGCGAGGTATTTCCCATCTTTGTTGTGAACACTTTTGGGGTCGTTAGTCAAAACAAGTAATATATTACACATATTACACAGAAGACTTTTCTTAAAAGTAATTGGTTACTCTACTTGTTACTTGATAAAATAGCTGAAACACACTGTCTCGCAGTTACCTACCTCATTTTACCTTTTGTCATTTAAAAATAAAATAAAAGTAATATCCATATCTTTTCTTTCTCCGGCACACAAACTGAAATCCACTGATTGTAGCACAAGTGCAAATGAACCAGTCGATCAAGAGGGATCGATATGCATGCAGACTAACAATTCAACTAAAGGTACTCAAATCCCATTTGTACCTCAAGGCGCTTTATATTGTAAGGTAAAGACCCTACAATAATACAGAGAAAACCTTAACAATCATATGACCACCTGTGAGGATGCGTTTTGGCAACAGTGGGAAGAAAAAGCTCCCTTTTAACAGGAAGAAACCTCTGGCAGAACCAGGCTCAGGGTGGGGAGGCCATTGCTTGGACTGGTTTGGGGTGTGTGGACAGGACAGAGACATACAGTGAAAGAGAGCCAGAGATGAATAAAAACGAATGATCAAATCCAGAGGTGTCATTGGACCTCCCACAGACACGGACGGAGGAGGGGCCAAAGGGCTGGAGTCCAGGTGAGACGGAGGTTGCTTTGGAGATGAGGAATTGGTGTTGGCTCTCTGCGGTGCAGTACCACTTCCTGTTTCGGTTACAACACACAGTGGTGTTTTCATATAGTTTATCTATGTACTCAATTGAATACAAAACTTAACGTCTTATTTCATAGCCTAATCTTCACTGTATCTTTAGGTATAGGCTAGTCTACAAACAACAAACCCAGTGGAAGAATATAGAGGGGTGGAGAGATGTACAGGAAACCAGTGCTTACTCACCAGTTTCAGATCCAGGAAACTCGACCGAGGAGCGGGAGAGGGTGAGGGACTCAACTGAGAGCTACAACACCTGAAGACTTGCTTCAGGGCTGTCCAGAGCCTCTCAGCACCATTGTAGAGGTGTGGGAGGTTACTCTGACCTGCTGTCCTGTTCTATGTAGCTGCGCCATCTTCCCCCACAGGAGCAGCGACATCGTGGGTTCCACCATGTGGATCGAATTTGATGAAACCTCCAATTTATATCATGAATCTAGGATGTATCAGGCCAAGGTGTTGTTGCCGCTGCTGTGCCCTCTGACTCCTTTCTGTTCTCCGCAGCATTCGTAATCTGTTTAGTATGGCTGCCGGCACAAGGGGTAGAGTGGGTCGTTTACCAATCAGAAAGTTGGTGGTTCACTTTGAGATTACCAGTTTCTCTCTATATCTTGGGTGCAAATCTCGTATCAGAAAAGTCATTCTGCTCTACTTGATGCATGCTCAATCATCCATGTAAGCAAATCCCCGAAAGTTGATTGTGTTCATCTGTTCAAAACGCTACGTCCAGATGAACAGAATCAACTTTTGGGGATTCTGCTCTACTCTTACTGCAATTGTCAGCTCAGTGACACATGTCCCCACAACACTAGCCTTTCTTACACAGCTAATTTTTCTACACGTGCTTCAGTGCTAAAGAAACTTTGGTTCTGTTGATGACATTTCATCTGTCACTTTCCTGAATACTGTCCAGCACTGAATTAGCTTTTACTTCAGACTCAAATATGTACAAAAGAGCAATAATAAGTGAAGCTTAACT